GAAAACACTCCCAGGTTAAGGTGTTTAAGGTGGTCTCAGACAAACGCAGACCCTGGGGAAGGGCTGCAAAGATGGAGTCTCCAGGGCCTGTTGGTACCTGTTTGCTGCCAGGTGCAGCCATGGGGCTGGCGCGCTACCTCGCCAGCCGCGCGCCGGGGAGCGAGAGCAATCCTGCGGCAGGCAGGTGCTGCCCGAGTGACTGTGCTCCTGCTGTGAGGGGAATCAGCATCTCCAAAGGGCCATTTAGGCAGTCATTTTGAGCTCAGCCTGTGCTGAAATGGAGGGGCCGTCCCCGTGCAGGGCTGCTGGATCATTATGCGCTCAAGAAACACGACCCCGCTGTGGAGGCCCAGGACTGAGAGGGGACAGGCTGGCTGTGTCCCCAGGAGTGGTTGTAGCCTCGCTCGGTGACCAAGAAGGTCACTGCAGGGTTCCACTCCTCATGTCCCCACCTGTGAGAGGGACAACATGGGCCTTCCCACCCCTGGAGAATTAAAATTCAGTTATCTATGAGGCTTTTGAAAACACACGAGAGGAGCACAGGAGAGACACCAAACAGCTTTAGTAACAAACCATCCCTTTTAGAGCTTCCCAGAGACAATTGTCTGGAGCCAGGCTGCATTTATGGATACAGGTGCAGATTCCAGCACGTTGCCCGCTCCATCACTGTGAGTCTCCCAGAGCAGCCGTTAGCGGTGCCCCGGCCTGTCACAGCAGGCTTGTCCAAGAGCGTGTCACAACCCGCAGGCCGGCTCCTGGTCTCTTCATCGCGGTTCCTGGGCTTAGCAGCCAACGCCAGCTCCTTGAGCACACGGAAGGACCTCCCAAAGCGGCAGCCCCCCGGGCACGGCCACCAGCGAAGCTCGGGCAGCATCCTCGGTGCCCACTTACCTGCAAGGAGGGTCAGGTGCCAGCTCGGCCATCGCTCCCTCTCCCCTCCCCATCCCGCCTGCGCCCTCAACACCCAAGTGCTGCTGCTTTCAGGAGAGGGCCCCACATCCCGTGATAGCCCCGAACAGGGCAGGGCTCGGGATGCCTGCACTGCCCATGGGCACCATTTGATGGCACGAGTCCCCGCAGAGCCCTGTGGCGAGGGGGCTGCAGGGCCGGCTGGCGAGGAAGGGCTCCAGGCACCTTCAACCCTGGTGGAGAGTTAACGCCTGAAGTTACAGTGGGGCTGGGACATCTGTGTCTCGTGTTCCTGGAAAACCCTCAGGCACCAGCATGGGCCGTTTGGGATGTGGGTAATATCTGGCATGGTCTCCTGCTGGGGGAAGGGGCCTCAGATTGATTACCCATTTGCTATATTCAACCCTTGCTCCTTTCTAAGGTCCTCTCACCTTGCGCATCACCTCTTTGCCACCCTTCTCCCTGTTGGCAGCTTGGCCCGTCCCCCCGGCACCCCATCGCTCGGGCTGGCACCAGGGCTGGAGGCGCAGCAGTACACGGAGTGCCTTTCCCTTCCTACACCCAATGCAGACCCGGCCTTTCGGAAGCGCCAGCGGTTACAAATACGCAGGAGTTCAGGGCTTCACTTCAAAAGATTTTTTTTTTAATTTAGAAATGCAGTTATATACATAGAACAATTAAATTAAACTTTGTACAAATATTAAAATACTATCTTCACACCCACTGCAATGTACAGGATACCAGAAAATATATATAAAATAAAGCAAAATAAAACTGATTGAGTGACATCCTGCACAGCATCAATTATGGTTTTGTTTTTAAAACCCACATATATATGGAGTACCATTCTGCAAAGAATTCCATAGTGGTGCAATTCAGGTTAAAAAGAAAAGAAAAAAGAAAACACACAAAAGGAAAGAACCAAATGGGGAGGAGAAAAAAAAAAAAAAAACACACAGCGAGCCTCCCTCTTTGTGGACAGCTCTGCTTTTCCTTCTCTTTGAATTAAGCGGGGCTGACAATACACCCGAACCAAAGCACCTCCCAGCGCCGCTCCGTGGCCTCCGTCCCCGCGGGACGGGAGCAGCAGCTCGGCTTGCACAGCGGCGGCGCCCGTTTTTATCCACACGCGCACACCTGCACGGCCCGTGCAGCGGGACGCGCTCGGAAGCGCTGCCAGGCGCGGGGCGCTGCGGACAAGCGCCCAGCGGGGGGATGCGGATAGCCGGGACAGGGACTCCTGGGCCGGCACGGTCAGAGCGCTGGACGAGGCCTTGGCTCCTCAGCAGCAATCAGGCTCCGAGAAGCCTCTCTGCGCTTTCCAGAGCCTTGTACACGCCATCAGCGGTGTCTGTGATGAAGTTCCTCCGCAACAAGGGTTTTGGCCTAGAGCGAGCCGAATCTGCCGCCCTCTGGCAAGTGCTGCAGCGGCTGGGCTGAGGCTGGATGTGTGTCGAGAAGGGATGGGATTTTTTGCATTTAATTACGGGCAAACAAAGGGAAAATCGACTGGGTATCCACATGGAGTAAAAAGGCAGATTTTAAAACAAGTGCCTTGAGAACAGCCAAGCCAGGCTTTGCAAACACGCGGGAAGGGAGAGGGGCTGCAGGCCCACAGGGCTCTCCCTCGTGCCCTTCGTCTGTCCTGCCTGCGACCTCCCTTCCCAGGTTATTTCCAGCACCTGCTGCTCTTCCCTCATCCCACTCAGCACTGACTGGGATCAACCCTGGCAACATCGTGGGCTCCCTACCTGGTAGGCAGAATATACTTATTCCTCACACACCTGACTTCCGTAGATACTGAAATACTAAATAAACACTCTGCTCCTTTCCAAATTAATGGAGTTTTACACCTTAGTGACAACTCTACAGGCTCATTTGTTGAAAAAATGTCCCCTTTTCTGTCTTTGTGTTTTTTTTAAACCACTTTACAGTTAATGATGGGAGATGCCCACGCGGGCCGGCCCACGGCCGGACACCCTGCGCTTCGTTTAGGAAAAACAAGCCCTAACTCGGAGGGAGCGAGGGGGGAGCTCTATTGCACGTAGTGTTCTGTGAATTTCTACCACGTCCTTTTAGTTTCTTAACCTATCAGATTCTTGAACCCACAAAACCGAAAGAGAATCTTTTTAAAAAGTGCTCTCTCTAAATTTTTCCAATGTAATTAAATCATTTTAATGCTCTTGAACGTCTCATAGGACAACAAGTATGACGGCATGAAATTATATTGGGAGTTTTAAATAAGAAAAAAATGCCTCCCTTTGGATTTTTTTTTTCTTAGGCACGGGTGGGATAAAATGTAAGGAAGTTGTTGCCACATCTATTAAATACATAGATAAAAAACATACAGCCTCTTACAGGGCTTACTGCAGGGGACGAGGGTGTTTGCAGCAGGCCTGATCACAAGGCCACAACTTTTCCCATATTGTTACTTCAAAAATTAATTAACAGCAGATGGGCAAATAGCACTTGCCCCTGCATGGCCTGAAGTTGAAATACCAAAGCCCTAGGTAAAATGACATGAAGTTTTCAAACTGCAGAAAAACCCAAATCAGCCAAACTAGACTTATCAAATCCTTTTGTTAGCCTAAGTTATGAGCAACGGGGAAGGAAATTTAAAATACTGTATTTTTAATTTTAGTGTCCCTCTAAAACAAGCCCAGGGAAGAGAGCTCACTTCCATCTGCAGGCACGTGCTTCCCAGCTCTCCTAAAATTAACAGTAGCCAGAAAGAGGAGCAGCAGGCAGACAGCAGGACACTGCGGCAGATCCCTATTTCCAGGGACCGGATCAAAGCTCCGGTCTAAAGGCCCTTACAGAAGCGAGCGCTGCGGCAGCCCCTTCCCGAGCTGCACAGCTGAGGGCCCGTCCTCTGGGGCACTGCCACACGGGAGGCAAAGCCAGGACGTTTCCCTCCTTCAAACCAAAGGAGGATTTAGCAGCTTCTCCCAGGGCAAGCACTGCCCTCAGGGCAGCTCTGAGGGGGGCCTCACATCTCTGAAGAAGCCTCTCCTCTTCTGCTGGAGCAGGTTCCAGGAACACCCTTCCCAGACCATCCCGCTGATCCCTGTGGCTACCACTGTGGTTTTGTTGGGCTCACCCATCCCATGGGCACTAGGTTCCTGCATTAAGATCCTGTTAAGAGCAGCCAGGACACTCAGGTGACCGTGGGGTGAGGGCCTACACATCCTGGATTTTTTTTCCTCTTTCCTAACAGAACTTCCATAAAACAGTCTTTAATATTCTTGTTCTGGAATAAGTTGTGATGTCTTCTGGCACCACCATCCAAACGAAGCCAACTTTCCTCCATGGCGACAGGTAACAGATTTAACAGATTTTACAGAGCCCTCTGATTCCCAGCCACAAGGAAGAGCCCTTCCCGCACCGGCCCTGCTGACTTGGGCTGGACAAGGCAAGGAGGGTGCACTAACCATTTTCATGGTAGCTACTCAGGATTCAAGTACTCTGGTACCTGGCATGACTGGCAAGATAATTTGGGATTGCACCAATGTGACCCGGTGTTCACTACGCCTGGGCATTTCTATGCCGATAGTGTCAAGCACAAGCTACCACATGATTCCCTCCAAAAAGCATTGCCTCTGCCTGAAGGCCTGAGCACAAGGAACCCAAGCAGAACACCTCAGCGATCGGGAAGGCTCTGTGAGCCACACACCATCCACAAGAACTCTCCTGCAGAGAGGCAGCTGCCCTGCTGTACCAGCAGGTACCGAGGGGCCTTCCCAAACGCGGGGCCTGTCTGCCTTCAGAGCTCCAGCAAACCTCCATACGTGGTTAGTGCAGAGCTCACCTCATTCCAGGCACTTCTAGACATTACAAGTTGCCCTGTAACCAGAGCCCCTCCCAAGCCCAGGTCCAGTCCTATTTGTCCTGCCGTAAAGAGGATGCTGGAAGAAGGGCCTATATAATATACATATATAAACTGTCTGCACCCAATGAGCAAGCAGATTTAGCCCCTGCTCTCTGGGCAGGGGAAGGGCTAGAGAGGCTGAGAAGCTGCGACAAGCCGGTGTGGGGAGGAGAAAGGCACAAGAAAAGAGCAGCTCTCCAGAGACTGCTGCAAAACATCTGGCCAGGGGAAAAGGAGAGGAGAGCTCAAATCCACCACGTCCCTTGAGCCCCTCTGCGGATGGAATGGGAAACCAGCACGGCACCAACCCCACTGGCGCTCCCAGCAGGCAACCTGGCGACGTCCTTTGGATCTGCAGCTGGGGGTCTCCGCTCGGAGGTATCCAGGGCACGGCTTGCGAGGACGGGAAGGCTGCACGGAGAGCTTCTGTCCCGAGGGCAGGGGAAGAGCGAGGAACCCCAGGAGGAGGAGGAGGAGGCTACACAAATGCAGCAGGCCTCATGCTTCCTTCAATAAGGGAATATCTGCATAGGAGGAGGAAAAAAAAAAAAAAGGAAGAGTCAAACTTTATGCAATTCAACACACAAAAAATACTGTTGAAAGCAATAAAGGCTACCATATCTTGATGCTCAGGCTACCACGGCATGAAAATGCCGTTCTCTTCTTCTCGTGCTAACACGGGGAAGGGACCTCTGGAGTGCTGTGATCTGATCCACCCCTGGAAGCGGGACCATTGCCAGCTCCAGCCTTGATACTTCGTAAGGACTGAGATTCTGCCCCCTCTCCTGGTGCCTCTTTGATCCTGCACTACGCCCTAACAGAACGTATTTTCCTAAAGCCCATTCTGAATTGCCAAGTTGCAACTTAAGGCTGTTGCTCCATGTTTTATCACTTGGCATGACTGAGCTGACTCTGCTCGCTTTCTAACTCCTCACCAAGCTCTAGTGAGCTACTGGGTTGCCCCTCAGCATCTGCTCTGCCAGATTAGAGCAGCCCAGCTCCCTGAGCATCTCCTCAGGTCCCTGCTCATTGTGGCAGCACTCTAGCAAAGCCCCTCCATCTCCATATCCCTCCAGAACTACTGGGCCTCCTACAACACCACAGTATTCCCACTGCATCCTCACCAGTGCTGTATGGAGGAAGGTAGCAACTTCCCCCCAAAAAAACAAACAACCAACAACCAACCAACAACAACAACAACAAACAACAACCAAACAACAACAACAACAAAAAAACCCAAACCCACCAACAACCACCATAGTTTCCACCTTTACCACAAACCTCCCCAACTTTTTAGTTTCTCAGTGTGTCCAAGCCAAGAAATTTCTTGCTGTGACAGGAAAGATGGTCTCCAACTTGGGAAAAATGCAGCCTTATCCCTCCTGCACTAAATGGAAGTCTAGTGGCTGCGCGAACAGCAGCCCTGCTGCAACAGTCTAGTGGCTGCGCTAACAGCCCCCCTGCTGCAAGGGGCCACCGTTCCCGCACAACAAGCCTAAGTGTCTCTCACAAGAGTCTCCTTCAGCCCTCCTGGCGCAGGTCACGTACCGTCTGTGTACTCCTCCGAGGAGGTGAGTGATAAAAGGCTCTGTATGTCACTGCTTTCTGAGTCTTGGGCCTCTTTCTGCATAGGTCTACTACTAGACATACCAGCTACCCAGGAAGAGGTAGTGGCCTGATGCACGAGAACAGTCTCAGAGCGTTGAGAGCCACTGGCTTCACACAGTCCAGAGTGTCCTGGGGCTTCATCCTCTCTGTCAAAGCTGTTGCAAGCCCCCTGGTCCTGCTGCTGCATGTCTCTGGCTCCGTTCTGCCCAGCTCCCTCCGAGAGCACGATTTGCACGCGGGAATCCGAGGGCGGAACACAGTTGCCCGTGCTGCCGTACACCGCTTCCTCGTAGGATGGCAGGGCCACCTGGACACCATCCACCATGATAGAGACCTGATCTCCAGACACGCCTTGGTCTCGCCTTGAAGACACAGAGGAAAAGAAAAAGTCACGTTGAGGGGTCTTGTTTAAGAGAATACACACATGCACATTAGGAACCCCAGTAACCATCTGCCTCTGCCACAGCACCACTCTAATGCTCAGCAGTGACTTACTTATGGGATACCAGAGGAAGGAACCTGGGTGGTGTTTTACCAAGCTCCTATTACAGGCAAGCACAGCCTTGCAGCCCTGCTGTGAGTTGTCATAAACACAAGCAAGGGGTGTAATCCAAGGGGCTGATGGATTTATCTGCAAGAGTTGATCTCTTACAGATAAGGAGCCATCTCACCTCACCCGCCTGCAGAGCTAAATCTGACAGGGATCATGAGTCAGAGCTCTCTGGTGCCACAGCACATGTATGAAGGGCACTCACATAACCACTGATTTCAGTTTGATACACTGCTGTGCTTTGCAACACCCAGCACTGCCTGCTCTGCCACCTCTGCTGCTGCAGAGAGGACCTCTGGCAGAGGTGGGGCAGATGGCTCTTAAATCATCCCACTGTGAATCCACCCAGGCTCATGAATCAGAGTCCCAAGATTAAGTTTTTTACTGCCCATAATGGCTTGGACTTCTGCAGAAAAGGACAGATCCCAGGTTGCCACTTCTTAACCCTTCCAGCTACTGGACAGACCAACTTGTTCTCTTGCTTAAGGAGCACCAGTGGCTGGGCCTGAAGAGGGAGCCCAGTGACACTGTTCACCTCAGACAGCAACAGTGTTAGAGCCAAGTCCCTCCTCTCTTCTACGAACCCAGGCCAGGGGGAAATTTTCCCAACAATGGGGAACTACAGCAAGTTTGCACATCTAGTTAACAATTCTAGCAGAATTCATGATTGCAGGATCCAACAAACAGCCTGGGAGAGATGCATAAACACCGGGACACTTTGGCAGGGATAACAACTTTATGCATTCGAGGCCAAGGCAAAAGGGAAGAAACCAACTCATGGAGAGAAAAAAAAAAAAAAAAAAAAAAAAAACACCACCTTGTCGCATTGCAGACCACAGTCCTCAGTACTCCCAGGCCCTGGGGAGAGGTGTCACTGACGTGCAACGTGGCAATGCTGGACAGGACATTCATGCACACAGGTGCCTTACAGCTGGGGAGTCAAAAGGGAGGTGGTGTGGCCAGAGCATTTGTGAAACCCAGAGAACTCCCAGCTTTGTATTTGGAAATGCACAAAAACTAGAAGGTCCTAGTGTCAGGTAAAGAGGCAGGTGTCTTTTCAAGGCCCTTTTAAGGCTTTTTAAAGCAAATACCTTACTGGGTTTCTGCTGCAGAGAAATGGGCCACCTCTGAGTCCCTCTAACCTGCAGCTGGACTCACCTGCTGTGATGGAATGACTTCAGCTTGGGCTGCAGCAAAACAAACAGCACAACCAAGAGAAGAATCAGGGCGACGGAGCTTGCTGTGGAGGCCACTATGGAGAGTGTGGGTACTCCGATTGCCGGGGGAGAATCCTTTTCTACAAGCAGAGAGGAATGTAAGTTAGACGGAGCTATTCCCTTAAATCACTTCCAAAAAAAATTCACCATCTGCTCTTGGCACTTATACTTGGGTGCACGTGTGAAGGGACAAGTTTCCTAATAGTCAAGGCAGAGAGAATCTCCTCTAGAGGACAGTCTGGAGATTGATCCAACTCCTCTCCAACAGCTATGAAGAGAAACCAAGACAAGGTTTTTCTTCAGAAAAACACAGAAGCAGCACTAAGACAGGCAATGCAGCCAGGCCATGGGGGCTCACAAAGGGGAGAAGGTGATAAGGGTCATGTTATACATATATCTTGCTGAGCAACAGCTAAAAAATGTTGTGATAGCATCAGGAAGGCACAATAAGCAGGATATTTTAGGCCAAACAATAGGAAAAGTTCTATATAACGGCTTTCTTGGCTAATGGAACCATCTTGCAAAGGAAGGGGTGGAAATCACCACCTGGCTTGGTGTGTCTAAGGTCCAACAAGCACTCACTTCTCTCACACAAACATATATCCCAGGCAACAGAGAGGGATGCCAAGATGTTGTTCCAGGATGTCAAGTTTCCAGGGTTACATACGCCTGTCCTGCCCACATTCCTCCTTCCTACCTTCCTCTGTAGTCTCCTGTCCCTCAGCTGTGTGATATGACTGAGCCAGAATCCATCTCCTCTTTTCCTCTGGCCTCCCTTCTCCCTGTCGCAGAGACCTACAAACCTCAGCTCTCTCTCACCCCCATCAGTTACTGCAAAGCCTGGACTGTGACAGTGCCTTTGGAGCAGGACAGGATGTCCCAGGGTCACAGAACTGCAGTGAGCAACAAGAAGGGCTTGAGGAGGGTTGTGTGTTTTGTGTGTGTGTTTTTTTTTTTCTTCCCTCCTCCTTGTTTCCTTCTGATTAAACTAGCACATTTTGCATTTTGATTTACAAGACTTAATCCCAGAACGTACATGTTGCTGACTCAGGATGATCGAGCAAATAGACAATACCAGCAGGTCAAAGCAAAAGACATGAGGTGCAGGAACTCTCTCCTTATCCACTACAC